GTTTCCAAATCAACCATAACTAGCAAATATGAGTTTCTTACCAGACAACATGTGAGTTCATCATAGGTCAAATAAAAATGACTATTAATGTTTAATCGTCAGCTATCGAGTCTGATAAAAAAAATGACCGATTCGTTAGTTAAAGAAAATCAAACTTGAGTGGTCGATTCAGTAGTGGCTCCAAAGTTTAGTGGTCATTATGCAATTAGCCCGATACTCATAATAAAGGCGGCCGGGGAAGGTGGGTTGGTTTGGTATTATGGGCTGTAGGGATGGACATTTATGTTAAGCTTTATTTTGGAAGTTGGGCCAACAGCCCACAGGGGTTGACACTAACAGAAACCACCCAACTTGAAGAATGGGCTTGTCACTATCTATCCGTTATTCATGGCATAGGAGAATATGGGGTGTTAGAAATCTGGATTATGTGTATAGTTTGGTAACCAATTATATGTCTAGTATAATCTTATGAGCAAGTTTGTGATTCGGTCGCTAAGAGTGATAGGTTAATATAAACTTTAACTCGAAGGGTCACGTTTTGATGCATGAATATTGTGGCGAGTTATTTAGACATAAGAATATCTCTAACAGGAAACTATATTTTGTTATGGACGAGTAAAAGTTGGTTCTGAATACAGAATAGCATTTAACTAGTTTGGATGATAACAATATTATTCAACGTGTTGTTGCAGTGTTATTAAACAACGTATATTAAGATGAACCGGAGGCGTCAAATTTTATTATAAATACTACATATGGTACAACAAAACATGGTATACAAAATACGATATACATGCAACACAATGAATGAAATTCCACTAAAAATAAATGTGATAAGAGAAAAAAAAGAGACTATATCCCCATGTTCATTATATTGCACATTAAATTCTCCATTATCTTCTTATTAAAGGTTGTTTCCCTCTATATTCCCATAACGAAGACTCAAAACTACACTATAAAATTCTCCATTATTAATAAGGTTGAGTCCCCTACTGTAGATTATTGACATCGTAGTTTATCTCTTTGGATGTACTCGCCCCCATAATTTTTATGCTAAATAAAACAAATATTTTCATTGGTTGATGTTCATTTTATTCTCCTATTGGTGCATCTAATTTTTCGTTTATGTAAAGGCACTCCACTTGGGCTTGGCCATTTGGGAACTCTCTCCCAAACACACTCTTACAAGGGGGAAAACCACACGAAAAAAATGAACAGTAATTTTAAGAAATACAAGAAAAATGCAACTCTGTGGAATATATTACGATTGCATTTAATTAGCGCTTGGGGTAATTGATTTCATGGAGGCAATGAAGAAGATGGGCAGATTAACAACAAGTGGTTTCAGCAGAGATCAAGCAACGTGTGTTTTCAGGTGCTTGGACGAGTCCTCGATGTCACTTTCCAGCCTCTTTATTTACTCGTGCCCTTAATTGTGTGAAGATGGCGAGAAACTACAACAAGTATAAAATCATCATAAAACAGTCACGTCCACTAATCACTAATATTGATTTTGAGTCCTCTACTTTTGAATAGAAAATGATGTGTAACGATAGTTTGCTAAATTACCCAGAACTGGAGATCAAATAAAGCTAATAAAAACACACAAGTATGGGTTTTGGGCAGCAAAAAAAACATGAATTCATTGTTCCATAAGGAAAGATGTCACGAAAGAAGACGTCCTTTAAAAAAATGGCGTTGAAATACATACAGATGTCAGATTTTTCACCAAAACAACAATTTCATATACGAAGCAAATCACAAAATGCATTTTCAATCCACCCCTCCATTTCTCTTTACTTTTGACCCAACCCATTAGCTCGATTCTGGTCCGGTTACATAAAATCATGTAGCATATAGTTAACTACTTGGCATACAACTCAAAAGAAAATTACATAACCACAAGCTAGGCACCCATAGAGTTGTATACATCAGTATGATCAAGTGTTCTTCTATCTAGGTATGGTATGGATGCAAGCCTCGTTCTCGCCAGCATTTAAACTTGTTTGGATAATTAATTTTATGTGTTTTAACTTTTAAGGGATTAATTGGATATAAACTATATTATATGTGTCATTGCAGTGTTGATGATAGTTTCTATTTTTTTTTTTTGGCTGACGCTAAATCGCTATTAAACTATGTATTAATAATCAAGACAGTAACAAGTATAATTAAGGGATCAGTTAGCGTGACTACCCCTAAAGGGGTAGTGATTTTTGACACCCCCTTTATGATTGGCCAATTTTATTTCCAATCATTGGCAAGTATTAATTAAACTGATTTTTTATTTTTTTTAATCTTGTAATTTGGGGTCTCTCACCACATTGGAAAAGAGAAAGAATCTGGGGAAAAACGAAATCACCCCCATTAATTACATAATTAATTTCTCTCACTGGTACATTAATTACACGTACCACTACACTGGTACACGTACCACTCCACTGGTACACGTACCACTCCACTGGTACACGTACCACTCCAATGGTACACGTACCACTCCACTGGTGCGAGCAATCCACAAGGTAGGTTAGAGTGAGAACAATACCAGTGCAATGATATTTTTCATAACAATGAATAAACATAAAGGCTTCACAATTTTTTAAGCCTAAACAGGACATATGGTTACACGTACCACTCCACTGGTACACGTACCACTCCACTGGTACATGTACCAGTGGAGTGGTACGTGTACCAGTGGAGTGGTACGTGTAATTAATGTACCAGTGAGAGAAATTAATTATGTAATTAATGGGGGTGATTTCGTTTTTCCCCAGATCCTTCCCCATTCATAATTACCAACGTTTTTCTCCTTCCCCATTCATAATTATTATCACAATTAAGGCTTTCCCAATTTACAAGATTACAATAAATAAAGTAAAAAGCTTAAATGGAAAAGTGACCAATCAAGAGGAGGGTGTCAAAAACCACTACCCCTTTAGGGGTTAGCATAGTATCCGACCCCTATAATTAACATAAAGAAGAGGAAGCAAAGTTTACTTTAAATTCTACATATGGTAACAACCAAAACATGGTATACAAATACAATATACAGGCAAGACAATGAATGAAATTCCATTGAAAATAAATATGGTAGAGAAAAAGGAAACTCTATCCCTATGTTCATTGCATTAGATTCACCACTATCTTCTTCTTATTAAGGTTGATTCTCTCTACAATCCCATAACATAGACTCAAAACTACAATATAAAAAGGGAATTGGAGATGCTAGCTCCACCACGAAATTCACTACTTTATACATATATCATTAATATATATTATATATAAGATAGATAAATACATACATAGAGAAACAAAATGGAGGCCATGAAGAAGATGGGCGTGTTGATAATGGTGTTGTTTGTGATTTTAGGTTCGATGACTTCACAACAAGTGGTTTCAGTAAAACCAGAATGTTTGATCTCGTGTTTGGAGGAATGCTCGTCTGTTTTCAGCCCTTGCTTTTACTTCTGCACAAAAAATTGCAAAGCTAACGAGAAGCAACAAGTGGTTGTGGCAGATCAACTAGTGTAATTGAAGTCCCCTCCTTTAAATGATTGACGTCATAATCTATCTTTTGAATGTACTCGTCTCGTAGTTTTCATGCAATAAATAAAACAAATATTTTCATTGGTTTTCCTTATAGCGGGGAAAACACCCCAAAAAATGAATAATTTTTTTTTCCGATTAATGTCTATTTATTATCCAAATCTTTCACATATTCTTTTATTTTATCCAAACCTATTAAATTACTAAAAATTAGCCAAACGTTAACTTTCTGTCAACTTTTCCGTTAGTAATTTTGACTAAGCATCACGATGTTGAGTTGGCATCCTACATGACAATCAACGGAAAATTCTTAGCTCCAACCTTAGTTGGACACAGAAGCTCCAACCATCCAAGGTGTCAGTTTATTATTGCTGGATTCACTTTCCTTTTTTCTTAATATTTAATTATGCTAAGTAAATCAAGAATTAAAATATTTAATTATGCTAAGTAAATCCAAGATCCCTGTCGAAATGGCCGCCGCCGGCGACCTCAAGAAGCTCACACTGCTTCTCCCCCTCGTCGCCTCCCAGGCCTCCCTCATCTTCACTTTTAACTACGGTAAGCAATCAATCAGCCATCACAGTCGTCCCACGAAAAAAACATTGTTTCGTCTTTCAGTAAACAAAATCTCATTCTCTCCATATGTTGTTTTTCAGAGACCTGCCCTCTTCTTCTGGGAGCGACGACGACGATGGGCGACGATCCGGCCGGTCAAGAGGGTGTGCCAAGCGGCACTCCGGCATAAAGCCTCCGATTATTAGGGGCCTCCACGTGAATTTGTTAGTTACCCAATCGTATATTGTAGGTTGTATTTGTAGTGTATAATTAATTGATTATGAATATGATAACAAATTTAATTATATTAATTAATATTAGTGTTAACCATTGGTTACTATTCTCATGTATATATACACTAGACACTTATATATACACTATACATATCCTATTTGTTTTAAAAAGATAATAGAAGACAATTTTAATGAAATAGCTACGATAACAATTGAAATTATCCCATTGAGAATATGTAAATTAGAGGCATAATAGATAATTTTATTTTAAACAATGCTTGAAAAAATTACATTTCAAATAATTACGATATAAATATTTTAATTTATTATAACCATTATAAAAAAAAATAATTTATTATAATTAAAAATCAATTTGAACCACATCTCAATTTTGAAACAGGGCCTCCATGACCCATTGGATGGACATGGCGACGATCTCCAGATGTCGGCGGCATAGAGGGCCCACTTCCACGATGACACCAAGTACGTGGCGTTCCTCGCCCGCCTCGTCTCTGGGTTCGGCGCCGACAACCAATTTTTTTGGTAGTGTTTCAAGCTCGTTAGTTTTTACTGGTTTTTTATTCTCTTGTTGACATTAGAGTGTAATGTAATGTAATGTGCGTAGTAATGATGTGTAAATGTACATATTTTCCCTTTGCCTTGCAGATAGTTTCGGTCTTGGGACTGTGGCTGGCCGTGTTGACACAAGTCGCGGTCCGGGATCTGGCAACGACCACCCAGTGGAGGGTGATGCTCGGTGTGGGCATCATCCCATCCCTGATTTTAGGGGTGGGGATGACGTTCATGCCCGAGTCCCCCTGCTGGATGGTGCTGCGAGCGAGGGCGGCGGATGCAAAACTCGTCCTGCAGCGGACACTGAAGGTTGCAGATGACGTCGAGGTGTGGTTGCTGGCGCTGAGAGAGGCGGCGAGAATCCCTCCGACCGGGGGGACGAGAACTTCGATGCGATGGCGCAGGACATCCGCGTCCTGGCGATTTGGCGGGAGCTGCGTCGGCCCCTGATCCATCTGGCCCTGATGAAGCGAATTTCCTCCATCCTCCTTGTCCAGAGCCTCCACCAGTTGTCAGGGATATATGTCCTGACAAGCAAGTCCCTGCTGACCTTTCCTCGCGACAGTCCGGTGTTCAGTCCGATGGATTACTTGATGGAGCAGCTCCTACTTATGTGCGGGAGGCTGCTCCCGATCTTTGGGCCCTTGTTCGTGTCGGACACCATCGGATATACCCTACTCGTGGCCTACAGTTTGGGGGCGGCGTCCTTCTCGATAATCTCCGTCAACATGTCCTCAGCATTCCTGAACTACAAGGTCGGCAACCTGAGAGCGGCTACCGTGGGGAATAAGTGGAGAGTCACGGCCTTCTTTGCGTCATTCTCCATCGGCTTGGGCCCGATGACGACGGTGCACACCTCCGAGGCGCTCCGATGCTCGGGTTGAGCTTAGGCCCTACTGCTTCCGTTGATTGATCCTTGGTGATGTTCCCTCGCGACAAGCCCGTGTTCAAGCCGTTCGACTACCTGATTGAACAACTCCTGCCTTTGTGCAATAGGGTGTCCTGATCTTTGTGTTGTTGTTCATCTCAGACGTGGTCGAACGTGCCCCACTGGTGTGGTACAGCTTGGCTGGGGCAGTGTCCTCGATGACGTTCATCAACATGTGACCACGCTTTTGAAGAATGAGGTAAGTCTGAGACGTATTAAGTTGATGTACAAGGTGAGCATGGTTGCCTTCTTCGGGTCTTACTCCTTCAATTTGGGTTAGATGTATTAGAGTATGTGTAGTACGAGTTGGATTGTGTTACACTACGAGTATTGTTATGTAATTGGTCAGAGTTGTATTACTTATAAGAGTCGTAGAAATTAGGCAATTTCCTTGTAAGCGTTATAATAGAAGTCAACCTATCTACTCTATATGAATCATATGTGCTTTCAGTAATAATAGACAATCGTTTCTATTAGAGTATGTGTAGTACGAGTAGTATTGTGTTTTACTACGAGTATTGTTATATAATTGGTAGGAGTTATATTCCTTATCATAATCGTAGAAGTTAGGTAACTTCCGTATTAGTGTTAGGGTTATTATAGACGTCAGTCTCTGTACTCTATATAAATCCTATGTGATTTCAGTAATAATATACAACTTCTATTAGAGTATGTGTAGTACGAGTAGTAGTGTGTTATACTATAAGTATTGTTATGTAACTGGTCAGAGTTATATTCCTTATCAGAGTCTTAGAAGTTAGGTAATTTCCGTATTAGTATTAGGGAAATTATGAAAGTCAGCATTCTCGATGATTTCGGTTAACATGACATCAATGTTGTTGAGGTACAAAGTCGGAAATAGGGGAGTGGTTAAGATGGTGAACAAGTGGGTCGTGGCAGCATTCTACGCGTCCTTCTCTGTGGGCTTGGGCCCACTTACAATGGTGCACAGTACCGAGGCACTACCATTCAAGGTGAGAGCTCAGGTGGTAGGAATCGTCATGATGGTGAACAAGCTTCTTTGTACTACTTGAAATCAGCCATGTACATAGTTTTTTTTTATGGTTTCTTGTATTGGAGCATCAGCGTGATACTGGCTTTGGGGGTGGTGTTCACCAACAAGTGCCTCATCAAGACATCCGACGCTCGAGTTGCGCTTGTGCCATTTGGCTTCAGACGATTGATCTACGAGTGTTTATGATCACCTAGCTAAGCATAGTTGTATGTAGTGGTAGAGCCAGGTTTTAAAAATACCCATGTCCTCTTCGCATAATATAAATAAATAAAAACATTAAACTAATTATATATAAATAGTTTGTTCATAGACAAACAATAAATAATCTTTAGTGTAGTGGTAGAGTACTCATTCATTATCCAAAAGATCAAAGGTTCCATACTTGACAAACACATATGGGATATTTTTTCTACCCCAAATTTCATCTGTGTCCTAGGACAGTTCCCAAGTACCCTGCCTCCGCCTATGTTGTATGGATATCATATGTAAAATATTATGTATTTGAGACTCTGATAACAATGTTCAGTCAATGTAAGGATTTTCATATATGTACGTTTGGGCTTTGCTTGTCCTTATTAGTACAGAGTAGGAAAATTGCAGAGGGCAAGCTTGAGAAGATCTCAAAAGCTAGATACCTTTATTTATTGATCATTATCTCCACATTACATTATTGTATATCAAACGTAAACATGTGAAGCAGATGAATCGATCAAAGACAGACTACTACACTAATTTTATGTGCTTCATTTTCCTTTTTTGATTAATTCGAATCTTTGTTTCGTCATAAAAAATGTGCGTCATTATCCCCAAGTTCAAACACAATACTCTTTTGGGCCTATGTTTTCAATTGGTTTGGGGTCCGCTCAACGCTTTGGAGATTTGCTGATCCAAACTTCCACGAGTCCATGGTAAGAGCTTTCGGTATCATCGGCCCAATTTCTTATCATAGGAGAGTTTAACTAGAACAACGTTCTCAATCTCGTCTGCCTCTCTCTCTAACTAGTGACGGGCCCGGCTAGTTGGCCGAATGCATTTCGTCAACTTCGTAAACAACGGTCGCAATTAGTATGAGAGATATGTATTTATGATAGTTATAGGCCTTTAAACACTAATTAGTTTTTGCCCGAGGTTGTTAGTTCGAGTTTCTTAAGAAAGAACAAATTCTCTCTTTGTTCATATTTCTTTACCTCGGGTCTAAATCTTAGTTAAACCTTCTTAATCTTAAATTTTAGATAATTGTAAACTTGTTTTCGTCAAGTCCTTAAACAACAATAGCAATTAGAATGTGAGATATGTATTTATAGCCATATGCCTTTACCCACTAATTAGTTTTTGCCGAGGTTGTTAGTTCGAGTTTCTCAATAAAGAAAAATTCTATCTTTGTTAATAAATCTTTATATCTTGTCTAAATCCTAGTTAAACATTCTTCATGTTTAATTCAAGATAATTAAAGTATATAATATCTCACCAAATAATCTTTTATCTTTGGTCAACCATACTCGACTATAAACTAACAAATTCCCCAAGGATCCTTAATTAATTACATGCTAGCCTAAGTCCTTAATTAAGATTTTTATACATTGATAAAGGCCATTCTAGATCATTTGCTGACCTTCATCAACTAAGACGCTTAATTCTTAGTCATTCTCCTCAAACATATGCTTATACGCAACACAGAAGGTGAATTAAAGCTAATATAAAGTCTCCAACATGTCTCACATGATGTTACGTATGGATATCAGATGTAAAATATTATGTATTTGAGACTCTGATAACAATGTTCAGTCAATGTAAGGATTTTCATATATGTACGTTTGGGCTTTGCTTGTCCTTATTAGTACAGAGTAGGAAAATTGCAGAGGGCAAGCTTGAGAAGATCTCAAAAAGCTAGATACCTTTATTTATTGATCATCATCTCCACATTACATTATTGTATATCAAACGTAAACATGTGAAGCAGATGAATCGATCAAAGACAGACTACTACACTAATTTTATGTGCTTCATTTTCCTTTTTTGATTAATTCGAATCTTTGTTTCGTCATAAAAAATGTGCGTCATTATCCCCAAGTTCAAACACAATACTCTTTTGGGCCTATGTTTTCAATTGGTTTGGGGTCCGCTCAACGCTTTGGAGATTTGCTGATCCAAACTTCCACGAGTCCATGGTAAGAGCTTTCGGTATCATCGGCCCAATTTCTTATCATAAGAGAGTTTAACTAGAACAACGTTCTCAATCTCGTCTGCCTCTCTCTCTAACTAGTGACGGGCCCGGCCAGTTGGCCGGATGCATTTCGTCAACTTCGTAAACAACGGTCGCAATTAGTATGCGAGATATGTATTTATGATAGTTATAGGCCTTTAAACACTAATTAGTTTTTGCCCGAGGTTGTTAGTTCGAGTTTCTTAAGAAAGAACAAATTCTCTCTTTGTTCATATTTCTTTATCTCGGGTCTAAATCTTAGTTAAACATTCTTAATCTTAAATTTTAGATAATTGTAAACTTGTTTTCGTCAAGTCCGTAAACAACAATAGCAATTAGAATGTGAGATATGTATTTATAGCCATATGCCTTTACCCACTAATTAGTTTTTGCCGAGGTTGTTAGTTCGAGTTTCTCAATAAAGAAAAATTCTGTCTTTGTTAATAAATCTTTATATCTTGTCTAAATCCTAGTTAAACATTCTTCATGTTTAAATCAAGATAATTAAGGTATATAATATCTCACCAAATAATCTTTTATCTTTGGTCAACCATACTCGACTATAAACTAACAAATTCCCCAAGGATCCTTAATTAATTACATGCTAGCCTAAGTCCTTAATTAAGATTTTTATACATTGATAAAGGCCATTCTAGATCATTTGCTGACCTTAATCAACTAAGACACTTAATTCTTAGTCATTCTCCTCAAACATATGCTTATACGCAACACAGAAGGTGAATTAAAGCTAATATAAAGTCTCCAACATGTCTCACATGATGTTACGTAACGACGATCCAAACATGCTTTAGTCTCATTAATGCAAACGCAAGTTGCTAAAGATATTTCTTGGTTTTGGTATTGTTTTTCATTTTCACCTGGCTTAGATGTCAAAGTCGACATTGTTCAATCTGCAGGTTTGTTGATATATTTGAACAAATACTTGATAGCCACATATAACATAGTAAATTAATCATATGACTTAGAAATATTCAAATAAAATATAATAATAAAGTTGAAAAATCTATTGAACTATGAAGCGTTATATATTGACTCTTGAAATTTGGTTTCACCATATTTTGATTTATATATTTCAAAAAGATTTTTTTTGGAATTTTGGTGATAATTATGTTCGCTTGGCCTAGCGTATGAAGAAAAATAATAGTACACTTGACCTAAATCACAAAACAAACCTAAACCTAACATACGCCTCACATTCCCGCAATTTCACAAAACCACTATCTATAAATACACAATACTAATATGGTAATGACACTATTAATAATAAAGCAGTTCTAATCATAGCCCATGAGAATATGGTTAAGTATTCCTCTTCAGAAAAAATGGTTAAGCATAACCGCTTGATATCGCATCATAATATAGTAACTACACTGTTACGGTGACAATATGAATAACGAATAAATAGTGAAAATGGATTAGAAACAAAACTATAGGAGACCAAAATAATTGAAACATTATGTAAGATTAATTTAATGAGGATATAAAGGTAAAATGAGATGAACAACTTATATATGTTTGGATCGCTACACCAAATATTTGTTATAAGAAACAACAAACCGATTATCTAATGAGATCACATTCACCATAAATTATATGTTGTTTCAACATGAAAACTCTTGCGAGAACATTAACTCTATTATGATACTTTCTAGTAGTAGTCCTTATTAAATCAATCATGTATTGAGTCTCAGACCTATCAGGATTACATGTAATGAAATGATTTGGATATCCTGTCCATTCACAAACTGCCATAACATCATGGAAGTTTTTGTACTTATACCGAGGACCATCTATATGTGATGAAGATAAAATCACATGTTTTTCACTCACACTGGTACCTGAATCACCTCTCAAGTAAAAATCCAAAAGACCTTGGTAGTAATGTTGTTGCAACCTTATTTGATAATCCGTAACATGCTACCGATTAGATGATTTACTTGACCTTAAATCGAATAAACATATGCTCTGCATCCATAATTTTTCTATCAGTCAATTTACCTCCAACAAAAGTTATTTGACAACCCTATTACCCTATGATATGTTCCAAAAGGTGACATCGCATTGAAATATTTGCTTGGAATAGAATATTCAAAACCTCTGAAGGAGGGAGGTTCACTTTTCCTTGTTTGAAACACAATGAAAACTTCGGTTGATTGGAATTTCTAGTGGGTTTGGTACTACTTCCGCCCTTCCCATCGTAACTCCACAATATTCACATTTATATGATAGGTTTCCAATGACAAACACTTTAACAATTGTCAATAAAATTAAACTCCAATATAAGAAATACATTTGGATTTTTTAACATTATCATACATGAAGAAAACTGAAATACTGTAAATATCAACAAACCTGAAAAGTCTAAAGAACGCATCACCCGAAGACGATTATAATGATTTTTGGCATGTTTGATAGATCTTCACCATCTATTTTCTCTTAGTTTGTAAGTTATTTATCTCAAATTGAAGTCTTGTATAGGAATTAGTAAAATAAGAGATCTTAGCATTCAATATATAATTTGATAACCATATAAATCGAAAATAAACATGAAATCAATAGATTACCTGTAGGATTTTTGACGATTTTCCTATGTATAGGCGTTAGCCTTATATAAAGAGCATGTGTTCTTCTTGCTATTTTTTTAATGGTTGGTCAATTCTCTTAAACGCTGACTTATGTGAATTAATTCATGAAAATTTAAAATAGAAGTAATAATTTTGTAAGATCAAGCCATATGAAATAGTTGGAGAGATTATAAACAATGGATAGTTTATCGATTTTCATATCATAAAATTTTTCTTGGGCTTCAAATAGAGTCTTATCAATATTAATAGTACCTTCTGCTAGTATATAAACAACTCTTGTTTTTACTAAATTGCACATGGCATGGACACATATATAATTGTAAGAAGTCTAGCATTATGGGAATAAAAATATTTGTGCTTACATTCAACTTTTGATGATTCAATTGAAACAATATTTGGTTTTTGGACGACTCTCATGTGTCTTTGAGGCATCTAACTGCAAAAAATAAATGCTAATAATTTTTGTAAAAATAATTTGAACCTTTTAGTAATCAACCATCCTCAATCTTTGAAATTAATTAGGTACCCATCCTATTCATATTATCATACAATTATATTAGTATATACAAAAATATGCACCTTTTATTAACCAACCATCCTTAATCTTCAAAATTAATTAGCTACCCATCCTATTTATATTCTCATACCTAATGTCATCAAAATCACGTTTTTACGTAGAAGCATTTGGGTGATCTAGAAGTATAAAATAGTAAGCTTTTAAGTTTTAAAACGTGTTTTTAACTACAATAGTTTTAAAAATTGCGATTCTGTTTAAACTGTTTTTGTGATCTAGAAGTGTAAAAGTATAAGTTTTTAAACTTTAAAAAACAATTTTGGATACAATGCTCATACCAGTATAATAATATAAAAAAATAATATTCTCCTTTGATTAACCAACCATCTTAATCTTGAAAATTTAATTAACTACCCACCCTATTCATATTCTTTTAACCATGAGTATTATCTTTTGTAATAGAACTGCAAGAGAAAGCAATCAATCATATATACGTGTATAATTGTATATATAAGACAAATACGTATATTTGAGAAAATTTTTATCAACAATCAATATGCATTAATTTGGTATATAATATGATAGACCATCTAATAATTAAATCGAAATAATTATAGCATCGTGACGTCGGCACACCAATTAAAATAAACAAACTGGGATAGGACTTATAATAGAAAAATAGAAACCAAATAAATTAAATAAATCCATCAAGCAAACAATAGACTTGTTCAAATCCATAATGCCACCAAATTCATCATACATCCTTGGTTTTCCAAAATCCAAGTTTTACCAAAATCCCCATTTTTCAAATCCATAAAGCAAACGACCCAGGAATTTATTTATGTGTAGGACTGGATGTGGTAGGACCGTAGGAGTAGAAATGGGTCGAACTTCTAGGATATAGGTTGGGTTGCCTGCTTGGAAATAATCCGAGGGCCTAGAGGCCCATCTTCTGAATTAAAAGAAAGGCCTATATATTTACATTGAATGTATAGTATTGTTTGAAGTAGCCGCCGCTCGCTGGCTCCCAAATTCCTGTGTTCTTCCGTAAACCCTAGACCCTTGTAACCTTATTTGTTTCCTCCTCTGCTCTTCCTTGTCGGCCATTTTTGGAATTTGGTCCCTCGAAGTTGCATACTCTCTGCAGCCATGACGAAGAAGGATACGGCGAAGAAGACAGTAGCCAAGCTCAAGAAGAATAAGCACTACAGACCTGCGGTAATTTGGTTGAAAAAGATTTTGGCTTTTTGTATCAGGGCGCGAGTCAATTGTTGTTCCTTAGCTGGAAGTTGCAATCTTTTCTCACGATTTTACTTTTTGAGTTTGCTTCCAGGGGAAAAAGAGGGAAGGAAATGCTGCAAGGTACATGACACGGTCACAAGCTATCAAGCAGCTCCAAGTTAATCTAAGCGTCTTCAGGTACCTGCTGCCCCTGTGCTTGGTCCAGTTTTATTCTATTTATTGTGTAAATTGCATTAAAAGTTGTTGTCTTTGAAGTTTTCACTGTGGGTGCTGTTTTCTATTGGGGAAGATAACTGGTTGAGTTGGTTGCTTTAGGGGTTTTCTGAAACTTGGGGAACTAGTTGGAGGATTTCTCAGCTGCATTTGTCGACCCTCTTTCTTTTGTTTCTCCCCACCACGAGAGAGGATGCTGTGTTTTATGCAATGAGCTTTTGAACCGATGATTTTATTATTCAAGCACTTTTTGAGCTGCTATCCATCTGTCTACTTCACACACAAATGATGCCTGTTCAGTCTTTGATGATTTATTCATTTCTGCAAGAATGCCAGATTTCTCTTTCCGCGAGAGCAAGAATTTGTCTATTGAAACTTAACAATTTCCACTGTTCTTCTCATGATTCGAACTTATGTTATTAGTTCCTGAATCCCAGTCACCTCCATATAGTATATGTGTTCAGTGATGAATATATGCAATAGATTTGTTAGAAGATAAATGATTTAGTCCTGTAAGTGTACACTTAATATGCTGTTCTTTTCGAAGTGTAGTAAAATTTTAGCAAGCATTTGCATGGTTTTTAAGCTTAAGCAATTTGGTCTTGACCGAACTTAAATCGAGCTCTCTACTGTTTTGGTTATATGTCATATACACTTGGTTGAAATGATTACCTTGAGCTTGTTAGGAACAACCAATCACTGTTGGGCTAAGCTTTTCGACTTCCAGGTGAAGAAATAATTGCAGGGGTTGGTTGTTATATTTTAACGCTGCCTTTTGCTCTCTTGCTTGTGAATTGCAGGAAGCTCTGTATCCTCAAAGGTGTATTCCCCAGGGAACCAAAGAAGAAGGTTAAAGGTAATAACCAGACTTACTATCATGTGAAGGACATTGCTTTCATACAACATGACCCCCTACTTGAGAAGTTAAGGGAACAGAGAGCATATCAGAAAAAAATACACAAGGCTTTGGCTAAGAAGAATGAAGATCTTGCTACCCGACTTCGAACTAGAGAGCCAAGTTACACTCTGGACAGGCTGATCCGGGAAAGGTTTGTTACACTCATTAGTCCTCTAGATGCTCTGTAAAGAATCTAAGAAATCCACTGTAACTTAGTGGTTATTGATGATTGCTATGACATGAGAAATTTGCGTCTCTGAGTATTTTTCATTATCATTATGATGAAGTGTCTGTTATGGTGTTAATAGTCTGTTGGTTTGGAACTTATATGTTGCTTATTATACTTTATTTGTGGATACAAAATGGTGAACAGTTCTTTGTTGCCTTGCAATGTAGGTATCCCAAGTTTGTTGATGCACTCCGGGACTTGGATGATTGTCTCTCGATGGTGCATCTGTTTGCAGCATTGCCCGCTGTAGAGAGGTTGAAAATCAATGTGGAGCGGGTCCACAGTTGTAGAAGGTAATACTCTGATACTGTTTCTGTGCGGGTTTAACTATGTGCAGTACTTTGAGTTTGGATTTCACCAAATGGAAGGTTCAATTGGATTTTTCTCCCTCATGGTAGCTGCTGCATGTTTTTCCCTCAATACTTCTCCTTTTGATCTCCTTTTGCCAGGTTGAGTCATGAATGGCAAGCTTATGTTGCTCGCTGTCATAAATTACGGAAGGTGTTTGTATCAGTAAAAGGCATATATTATCAGGTGGGCAGCTACAATTTTCATTTGGACTCCATTACTATAACTGACCTAAAAAGTACTGTTTCTCAATTAAGCATTCTCCAGCATATTGCCTGTAAATGATCTGTTGTGTACTATTGTCCTTCGTAGGCTGAAGTTGAAGGCCAGAAGATTACATGGCTGGCTCCTCATGCTATGCAACAAGTTCTGCCGGATGATGTCAACTTCAGTGTCATGTTAACTTTTGTTGAGTTCTATGAGGTGTGTTCTGATTCAATTTTCGACCCGATTCATTTGTTTTTCTGGTTTTCTTTCATTAATTTCACCTGTTCAAGGCTCTGAGGACGATAATTTGGGTGCAGACTCTTCTTGGCTTCGTCAATTTCAGGCTGTACCATTCCATCAGTGTGAAGTATCCACCTATTCTTGATCCCAGACTAGAAGCTCTGGCAGCAGGTCTGTTCTCTTATTTATTGAATTAAATTGTTATGTATATTTTTATAGTGTGCAAATACTATACCTGTTGAATTTGTCTACTCTACTTAATTTCTCTTAACACTTTCGCATTCCACTTTCTTCTGCAGATCTTTATGCTCTCACAAGATATATGAACGGTAATACTAAGCGTATTAGTGAAGAACAAGAGTCCGGTTCCACTAAACCAGAGCACACTAGAGGCCAACTAGAAGGGGCACAGTTTGAAGAGTCCGAGTTAAGACTTTCCCAACTTCAGCATCAACTTCCTTCAAATGAAGACAGGGCATTGATGCACCTTATTGAAGAAGACGATGATAATGATGATGATGAGGATACCAAGAAGTGTAAGAAACTCTTCAAGAACATGAAGTTCTATTTAAGCCGTGAGGTGAGATTATTCATCAGTGTTGAAAGTTTTTGTCGGGATGAGGGTATCTGCCGTGATTTTTCTTTTATCGTTTTACCATTGCATAGCTAGATGCTTGTTTTAGCGAGTGAGCACATGTGCCGAGTAAGATATATGATTTCCCTCCGTGCACAGGTTTTTGCTCATCGACTACTGCCTGTGCTTTGCCGCCTGACTATTTGTGTTTGCACTAATCAGTGGCTGAACTGCTGGCAAATCCATATGCAGTTTTGTTTAATTGTTGCAATATTTTGTCTGATTCTGTTTTCTAATGCTTTGTGACGGTCTGAACTTTGATTGGTGTATCATGTTATTGAGGTGCTTGTTTATTTCGTTTCTGTTCAATCAGGAGTTATGTGCCGTTTGTTGCCCTCATGTTATTGTCTTATGGGGATGTTATGTTGTTTGAGAACCAATCATTTTACACTGGCATAGTTTACCTGGCCATTTTTCCTGAGTTCACACATTTGCTCTCATTTTCTCGAGTTACTTTATGCCAACAAGCATACCTGATTATTTATGTCTTAGGTCCCTCGGGAGTCTTTGCTTTTCGTCATTCCTGCTTTCGGTGGTGTTGTCTCATGGGAAGGAGATGCAGCTCCTTTTACTGAAGCCGACCAAAGCATTACACATCAGGTAGTAAGCTGAAATTGTTGCATGCCCATAAATGACTGACATGATTAAGGCATTACTCATTATGTATTCCTTTCTCCATCTATCATATTGACATGAATTTATTTGCTTATGTGTTCAGATTGTTGACAGGCCTAGTCAAGGTCACATGTACCTCTCTCGGGAATATATTCAACCTCAATGGATTTATGATTGCATAAATTTCGGGGTCATATTAGAGGCACATAGATATCTGGTTGGAAGGTAATGCTCATAAAAGTTGCTCTCGAGCTCCCTTGATTGTGACCCTGCTTCATACAATGATTTTTATTTTAATGCATGTAAAGTTAGTTCCCATCTACTGCATGCTGGTATTTGAAACGTGCTAAGGTTTCCAGTGGCTGTTAGCATAGCTTGCACATTTAGATTCTAATTACATGCGCAAGTGATCATTATTTATTATTAATCATTTTTCTGCCAATAGGGTTCCTCCTCCGCATTTGTCTCCTTTCGTTGATAATGAAGCAGAGGGTTATTTCCCTGACTATGCGGAGACCATCAAACGCTTTGAGGCTGCTGCCAAAAATGAAGTCCTCCCTATGCCAGGTGTGGGGAAGGATGACTTAGATGATCCTCAACTCTTGTTGGCTGAAGGATATCTTAGTCGAACTGAGGCTATTGAAGTTGCTGAGAGAAAGAAAGAGGTAAAAAAGCCTTTCATTTCTTTTCCTTCTGTTGGTCTGAGTGATTTTCTTGTTCATTTATGTTTGCTTGCTTTCATATTCACCTTGCTGACTGTTTTTTTTGGGTGTGTTCCAGAGGGCAACTTCGGAGAAGCAGTATCTTGAAGACCTTAAACAAGAAGTACAGGGTCACCCTGATGCTACTGCATCTATCGCTGTTGAGGGCGCTCAAGTCGAGGAAGAGTCTTCTCGTCCCCACTTGGAACAGGTTGCTGAAGACACTGATGGAACTGCTTTGATGATGATGTCACGTAGAAATAGAGGACTTTTTAAAGCCATGAAGGTAAGATTGAACTCGACTTGCTACTTCTGTTATATTTCACCTCCCTAATTGATAACCACATGTATGTTTGGTAGCGGTCAATTTGCACGTTTGGTTTTGGTAAGCAATATTACGTTGTGACTTATGATTGCCTTGACCTCTTTGTTTGTTCAGATTGCTAAGGATAAAAAGAAGGCCAAAGTCGAGAAGCTCAAGCAGCGGAAAAAGCAAATTGCTGAGAGTACCTAAGGGTGCAGATGAGGAGCCTTGGCAACTCAATACAGTTTTGTTCACATGGTGAAGTTCCCCAATCTGCTATAGTTCTCTTTCTATGCAGTTATGCTCACTCGTGCTTTTGCAATCTTGGTTAAATTGTCTACCAGTAAAACCAATCTATATTGAAGCTTTGTTCATGTCTTTACCTTGTTTAAGAGAAATTACATGTGGTTGATTAACTCTTTAAATCTGTAGTCACAGTACTGGCTCTTACAGGGCCTCCTTTCACATGCTTCTGAATCATGTAATTCAGTAACTGTTGTCATTATGGTCAGCTTTGTGATTCTGTTCCGCCATCTTTTGTTCTCTTTGTTTTTGAATGGTTAGTTCTATTTTTAGTTCAAACCTTACCCAATATAACAACTGTCTCACTGTCGGACACTGCAGAAAATCGGCAAGGATCTTCTTGATCTGAAATCATGTAAAATACAAACACAGAGATTTACGTCGTTTCTTCGAATATTGTGAATAGTAGCTCTCCGAGCTGGGAATGTTATTGTTCTGGCCAATCACTGTCCAATTTGATCAATGTGTCGAACACTCATTTGGTAAAATGTGTATGTACAACTTGAAATTATTATACCATTGGATAGAGGTACAATGGAACCCATGAGCACAAAATAGTTAATGTCACATTATCGGATAAAATGAAGTTACTTTTCATCTCATTTGCATCCATTGGAGGAAGATTGAGATCAATGTCCAACCAAAGATCTAGTTTTGAACTTGATATACTAACAGCCCGCGAAAAAAGGTATCTCACTCGTGAATATATTTATCATTTCCACCTCAGATCAACAACATATCAATTTGATCGACAAACCGGCTCTCCATCTACCGATCGATAAACCGTTGACCAGATGACAACTTTGAGTAAACAAACACCGCGATCCACAAAACTTTCGAAAATTCTTCATCAAACCCATACATAAACCAAGCTCACACTTAACACGATACATTTATTTATTGCTCTATCTAATCCTTCGAGCATGAAGACTTACAACAACACTAGTAGTAACTCAATACTACATGTGACACAAAACGAAGTGAAAGTGTCCCAAAAAAGAGTAAAAACAAAACCCCCAAAAAAGAAGTCCTTAACTATAGAACTCCTCATTTTATTCACGATTCACACACACACAGCTCCTCTTAGTTCTTGACATCATCAGCAAAGAAGGCATCAGGAGCCTCATTGGCAAGTGCGCAGCACCTCGAGCATCCGTACGAGTAACGGTATCCACGGCAGCAACCGTAACGGCACCTTCCACCGCCGCCGCCGCCGCGACCATAGTTCCCACTGCCACCGCGGCCTTGGTTCCCGCCGCCACCGCGGCCATAGTTCCCGCCTCCGCCTTGGTAGCCACCTCCGCCCTGGTAGCCACCACCGCCGCGCTCGTATTGGTCAACATCCTTAGCATCACCTTCACCTACATAATCATTGCAAGAATCAGAACAAGACACACAAATATACATGGTTCACTAACACGATAAATGTTAACTAGCTAGTCTCGCAACGTTTTCAGTTGTCGTTGCAAGATAGTACTCCGATTTAAGTCATACCAACATCTAGCTTATGTGCAAAGATAAAGGCGGCCATGCCATGCAAAGCTTACTTGCGGTGGTGGAGGAGACTTCGGCGGAGACGATGATTGCGAGGGCGAAGAGAGCGCAGAGGAGGATGAGCAGAGTCTTGTTGGAAGACGCCATTGTTGGAGTTTTCTCTGTGGAAAGGTTTTTTTTTAGTAGGAGAGTTGGTGTGGTGTTTATAGGAGTTTGGTTCTATTTATAGTGGAAAGTTTGGGATCTATCTAGCTCAGGGTGATGAATCGTACGTCCATGGAAATGGTGACAAGTTGTCACTAGATCTTGAATGCAAGTAGCATCTTTGTTTATTGCAGTAGGGTAATAATAGCAATGTTAGTAGAGCCCATAAATGGAGTGAATGAGATGTTCGGTTTTGTAACAATATCAAATCTAGCTAACGGAGACCGACAAAATCATAGAATTGTTCACATTTATAGAATAGAAGGGATGTATACATAATAAGACTAAATTTGTCATCTACTATACTCAAATCAAAATCCTTTATCTCTATCATAAAAATAATTTAAGATCAGATCAATCATCGAAGGTTTAGAATATATGAACTCGAAAGACGAAGTGAGAAGTTATAAGTCACTCAACCGCGAAGCTACCAATAAATACTCAGAATGGGAAGCTAGACTCCAAGTCCTGGAATCGGTAAGTGTTCTTACTCCTGGCTCGACATCCATGTGAGTAATACAGGATGTAAGACAAGTTTATCATGTTCAAATCGTTAATTTGGATATTGGTCGTTACTTGATCACGTAAGAGTGACAAACAGGTGGAGGAAAGAAAGAAGCAGCCGTAGATCATAAAACTATCAATCAGATTTGGTTGGTTTTAGTTGACGTTATAGTATTTTTTTTTTTCTTTCCAAATCTGAAAAGATCGATTAACCTATTACTAACCGTCCAAACAAACGAACCGACTAACTATGCCGACACATCCTTTTCCATTCCATGTCAACCACAAAACACTGGATAAGCACTTGACAAATTCGTCTAATATAGCCATGGAGAGAATGAGAATCAGAGTGAGAGAGAGAGAGAGAGAGAGAGTGAGAGTGATGAGATCTCATCTGAGTGATTACCCTATACATCTGTCTTGTTCGATTGCTCTGACCCTATCCAGTAATGGTGGGTACATCAAAGGCTGACTTTTCCCCCCCCACGAACATTTAAGGGCCAGCCAACTCCCAACCTACTTGCGCAGAGACGATTTTTCAACCCTATTTGCCATCACAATGAAGAGGTAGAAGACGAAATAAATATATACAATGCAAGCAGATAATGTCGATCGATTAATTATCACTACTGCAGGCAGAGCAGCACATGGTCATCGATTGATCAATCATGGTGGCAGAGAGGATCAGCTTCCATCTTTGACCTGAGAGGCAGAGGCAATGCAGCATGGGCCATGTTGGTTATTGCTTTGTTTCCATCCATCCCCATTTATGTGTGTTTTACGTATGGGAAGAAGACGGAGGAGGAAGTGTCATGGAGTATGGGCGTGCAGAAAAGAAAAGAAAAACAGAGCATCTGAGCAATAGTGTGTGCGGTGCATGTTATGGAGAGCAAGGTTGTTAGAAATTCGAGTCGGGTTTGACAAGTGGTTTGATGTTCAATGGTCGGATCAGGATTCGACACGTTTGAGACTTAGTACTTGGAATCGGTGCAGTTGTTATTAACCGCGCAATGAATTGGACAGTTAACCGCAACCGAATTTAGCGAATAATAGAGATGATCGTTTACTAAAGTTGCAATGCCCATACTCGATGAATTGCATCCATTGTACAATCAAACGTAATCTCCGCCAACTAATCACTGTTAAATTAACTTAGAATTTTGTATTAGGAGATGGAACTCGTTGATTCTCTTGATTGTTACCACCACCTCCATGTTCATGACACTTCTTGAAACAAAAGGAAAGACATTGGTCGTAATTCACTCGCTTACAATGGGTTGAACAATAATCATAACACTTCTGGTAATCCGCCATTATAATTTGGCTTGAAGAAGCCAGAATAACCAACATCACAACCAGAACTCCCAGCTTCATCCTTCTCTTCTTTCAAAATCTGTCTTTTTTTTCCCCTTCTTCTATTGACAAGATGTTATGTTTTCTGTGGCTCTTAATTCCCTTCTTATACTATTAGAGTGGAAGGTTTTTTCTTCTTCTACGTACAAGGAAACAAAATGAGCAATTTTATCATAAAAAGATTCGATCATTCATTTTATGAATGGTGCAGGATACTCTTTGGTTATGTTTCCATTTTGTTGGTATTCATAAAAAAGAATTTCACTCGTAAATGATTTCTTTCTATCGGTATTATATTTATTTAGATGATTTCCCATTTTAGTTTCTCCCATTCAAATTTTGTTTCCTTTTTGTTCTTTTTGCAATTAGATTACTTGTTATGAGCAGAGGTCAAGATACATTGTCATAGATACACACTGAGCAACAATCTCATAAAGACATGTGATTCGTTAATCAAGAAACAAAATCGAACACCGAATACAATGAATCGACATAGATGGTTTCTTGAAATGCATGGAAGCTAGAATGAGGAAAAATATCCTCCAAAATTGGTCAAGAATGGTCGATAAACATCGGTCAGAATTAGTGAAGAATAGCATTCAAAGTCTACCAAAATCTGTGATGAATAGCTTTCAAAATCGGCTAGGCATAATAGATAAAAAAAAATCACCCAAAATCTGTTATGAATAGCCTTCAAATTGACAAAGAATAGTCAACGAAAAATCAGCGAAAATTTGTGTTGGGTATCCTTCAAAATTGACAAAGAATAGCCGATGTAAAATCGGCCAAGTCTTTGTTGAATATCCTTCAAAATCGGCCAATAATAGACTATAAAAAATCGGACAAAATATGTGAAGAAAAACATTCAAAATCAGTCAAGAATAGACGATGAAAAATCGGCTAGAATCTGTGATGAATAACCTTCAAAATCGACCAAGAATAACGAATATAAAATCAGCCAAAACCTTTGATGAATAATGCTCAAAACCGGCCAAGAATAGTCTTAAAAAAATCATCCAAAACCTTTGATAAATAGTCTTCAATACTAGCAAGACTATACAATAAATAATCAACCAAAGGAACAAAAAATATCTTTCAAATCAACCAAGAATAGCCGATAAAAAATCAGCCAAAATATGTGAAAATAGTCTCCAAAATGGGCCAAGAATAGCAGAAAAAATCGACCAAAATCTATGAAAAATAGTCTTTAAAATCGACTAAGAACCGCCGTTAAAAATTGATTAAAATTTGTGATGAATAACCTACAAAACCGGTTATTCACCTCAAATCTATAAAAAATATTCTTTAAGATGACCAAACTTTCAAGAAAACCGGTCAAAATATGTGAAAAATAGTTTTCCAAATCGGCGAAGAATAACTTGAAATTTCAAAAATCAGAGAGAAATATGTGAATAATAGTTTTCAAAATCGATGAACAACTCCAACCCCCTTGTATGTGGTGTGTCAGTCACATATTATAATTAGGGATTTCAGGGATTGGAAGTTGTGTGCGTGAAAAATGAAGATCTTCTGTTTTTTCTCCTCAAATGAAAATCAGTTTAGCTCGAGTAGAATAGTATCCATCAATACATAATCATGTTTCCTCCTTAATCCAGCCCTTTTTCATGTGACAGTCAGCCATCTCATCCTGTAATTAGGAGGTTTCATTGATTTGATAGTTCAACGTTCTTTCCTCATAATAAGCAGAGCATCCCACAACCCAGATTATCATATCTCAAGCTTCTACTGCTCCTTGCTGAAAGAGAAGCTTAAGTTAACAATGACAAGACTTGATTAGAGAATTAAGTGTTACAGAGAGCTACATCACATACACATTCCTCATCCTAAAAAAACTTCCCCCCTTTTCCCCTACTAACTTATCTCAGCAAATCACATATTACACCATCATCATCATCACCACTACCACAATCACAATCATCATATATCACAAATGTTCAGAGAAAGCTAAAACAAACCACAAATCCTAAAACGTTCCATGACTCAAATGCACTGCCCACTTGCTGCAACTACTTTCTTTCTCCTTTTCCTTCAGTTATCACTATCACTATTGATGCTATCCACCCTCATGGGCTTACCTCCACTGCCTCCGACGCTGTGATCATCCTCTTCGTCTTCGTGATGTGGATGGCCAATGTGAGGACGATGATCCGAGGAAGCAGCCATGGCTGATGCCGCTGCAGCAACCGTCTCTATTCCACCTCCTCCTCCCCCTCCCGCTGCTGCTGCTGCTGATCCTCTTCTGTTGTTGTTGTTGCTGTTGTGCTTCAGCTGCGAAATCTCCATCTGGGTCTTCATGAAGAACTGCATCCTCTGCAATTCCAGCTCTTTAGCGAACTTCATCCTGGTCTTCTCCATCTCCACCACCTGCTGCAGCTTAGCACCCTCAGCTTGCTCGTAGGCTTCCCCGAGCTTCAGTATGGAAGCAGTCAGCATCCGAATTGAGCTTCCCCATCCTCCTCCCTTCTTCTCCTTAACTGCGCCACTGCCTCCTTTCCCATTCAGATTCGGCTGCGGTTGGTGTCTCGGCTGCATCTGGCTTGTCAATCTTCTCTTCTTGTTCTCCGGCGGGAAACTGTCGTCGGAATCAGGGAAAGCCACTTCTTCCTCTTCCTCTTCTTCTTCCTCTTCTTCCTCCTCGTCTTCCTCGTCCTCCGAGGAGAAATCCCTCATCTTACCGCTCCTCTTCCCGAATTGTATCTTCAGCTTCTGACTATTGTTGATGCCCTTTCGTTTGCTCCTCGAACCGCTCCCCTTCACCGGCGGCTTCCCGAACTGCTGATGGGGCTGCAAACTGATCCGACGATCGGTCGCAAGCCGGCCGGAGCTTCTGACAGATCCGGGATGCGGAGTAGTTTTGGGGGTCTGACTCGCCGTCTTAGGGTTCGCTCCAATCAGCTCCTCAATTCTCCGGTAGAAGCCCCACTTGCTAGGGCCGGCGCCGGCGGCGATCTTGGCCTTCTCCGATTTGAACTTCTTCTTGACGGTATCGATCCGATTCTTGCACTGGATGTCGGTCTTCGCAGGCTTGCCGTAGTCCTCCCTGCTGCTCACGATGTCGGCGACTTCCTTCCAGTGCTTCTGCTTCAAATTGCCCCTGCTGAGCTCGACGTACCTCTCCCCCCAGGCCTCAATCAGCACCGCCGTCGCTCCCTCGCTCCAACAATCCTCCCTCCCTCCTCCTCCGCCGCCGCCGCCGCCGCTGTTGTTGGCCCTGGGGGCGGCGAGAGCGAGGACGTTCTCGTTGGTGGCGACGGGTGAGGGGGGAGGACTGTCGTCTCGCTCTGGCGGAGGGAGGAGCGCGAGGGGAGGAGGAGGAGCGGCTGCGGCCGCGACGGTGACAGAGATTCTTCCGTTGGACGCCATTCGAAATTATTGCTCGCCGTGAGTGTACCTCCGCGACGGCGGAGGGGGAAATAGCAGAGAGAGGGCGGTTTGGAGGTTTTCGAGCGGTATCGGAGATCTAGATCTAGGAGTCGGGCACCGACGACAATCGCCAACCCTTAAATCTAACGGTGATTGATGAAACCGGCGACGATCGCACGAATCAGTGGGGTAGAAAGAAAGGTCGTTTGAGAGGCCGGCCGGTCGGTCTTATCCACAAATTCGCGTTTCGGCGGCCCATGCTTTGGCCCAGAGTTTATGTTTCTTTGTTGCTTCTTTTTCCTGGGCCTGTAGCCTTCAAACGGGCCCAGCTCTCCCGAAATCTTGCCGAAACTGGCATTAACCCAACTAGTTTAGACACTGCCCAAAGCTGTTATCTTTTTTGGCACTTGCACTTTAAATTAATGACAATAATTGATAATCTCTTATAATTTTGTGAGATAACAACAAATTTGTTCTTATACAGATACTCATACGAAATTTAATTTGTGTCTTGTTTAGAAATTAAAAAAGCATATATAAAAAATTACGTTAGTATCAATTAGAAATGAACGTCTCATTGGATGTGATTCAAACTTTTGTGAGAATTTAACATAGTTATGTCCATTTGGATTTGGATTTGGTTGATCGTTTGACCAAATATATTTTATCGTCAACTGTAACCATACCAAACTTGTTCTTTACTAAGTTTCTTATGTCTACGCAAAGCCCAACTTTTAGAAGTGCTTTTATACTTTAAAATTTTTAACAGGGCCAAACAACTTTAAAAGTTCGAGTTTTAAAAAGATAAAAAGTGTTTATATATAACACAAAAGGAGAAAACATGTTTTGAAAATACATTATCATTATTATTATTATTATATTTTAATTTTATTTCATTTATATTATTTTAAAAATAAAAGAAACCGGAAAAAATATTATGTAATATAAAAGAGATTTAAGAATGTTTATTTTGACGACTTTTAATTTTTTAGAATGTTATTTAAATATTTTATTAAATTTTATAATCAATTTTACACGAACTCTTATGTTAAAAAGCACTTCTAATAGTTTATAACTCAAACACTTAATTATATTTTTCAAAATAAAAATCAAGTCAGAAGTAGCTTCTATAAAAGCTACAGCTGGCCAAACTAGCCCTATATGGTGTAATCATTATCATATCCGTGTTAGTTGTTACTCATCATAATTTTTGTAAATTTCTAGACTTTTTTTTTTAATTCATGGATCAGTAGTTGTTTAAAAATAGTATATTTATTCACATTAATACCGATCCTGGCTTTGGAGCCGTGCTTGCCGGAGACAAATAGACAATTCACCTAAAAGCTTCAAAATTATAACCTTAGACACCGCTGCAATGTATCGTACTCTGGTGTGTTATTTTTTGTATGTTATTTATTTCAACCCAAAAATAAATATATTATGTGGAAGCCATTTTAAGGATGGACATAAATTTCGGGCCAAATCGTCTCATGTTAAATTAAATACATACATATTTGAGTCGGTGAAAGGAAGAATTGGGCCGGTTCCCGGCGGGCCGAAAGAAGTGGGGAAAAAACCTATATAAGGCGTAATAACTAAACTAAACGGCAAAGAAAAGGAAGGACGGGAGCTGTGATAATTGTTATTCGGTTTCGCTCCATCATCGCGGGAGGGCGATTCGGCAATCGCGCGCTCGGCAATCGCGCGGTCGGCAATCGGCGATCTCGCGGCTGTAGGTGAGTCTCTCTTCCACTCTCTCGCTCCATCTACTCCAAGTGCTCTCTTCTTTATCTGTATTCTTTATTAGCACCTCCTTCGATCTGTTCGGCTTCTTGAATATTTACTTACGTAGTTGTTGTTTTTTTAATTATTATGATCTGCTGGGTTGGGTTTCTTGATTAATATATTGCTGCTTTCCATTTCTTTCTTTTCTTTACGCAGAGTTCAACGACCAACGACCCTAGCATTCTCCGTCCACTGACGCCGCCGTCCAGAAAAGGGAGCACCCATTAACTTGCACCTTTTTTACTTTTTTTTGTCATTCTCATACTCCCCGTTACAGCGTTACCGTCTGCTCTCTCTTTTGTTTTAGTTTTTACAGTCAACAATGGACCCGCGGGAGATGAGAACGGCGAGGCTGAGAGAGCTGGAGCTAGAAGTGGTGGGGATCGAGGCCGCAAGTGGCACGCGGATCGCTGTGGCCCGGGAGCGCCTTCGGCTAGCCACCAACGAGTTGCGCCGCGCTATGGAGCGGTACATGGCCGGCCGCCCGTTCTTTACAGTGGAGTCCTTGGCGGATTACGAATTGGCCCGCGTCCTCTACGGGGAAGGAATGACCTTTAAGATAAGGCTGTACCGGGAGGCTCTGGGAAGTGCACTCTTCCAGGAACTTCAGGAGATACTGACTTCACTGGACGTTGTGATAGTGTGGGATACTGACGAGCCGCCCCGCACCCCGCGCCAGCCCTACGACCACTGGGCGGCTCGCGATGACTAGCTTGTTCAGTTCGACTATGCGATGCGAGAGGTAAGTACGTGGATGATATGATGATTATGTAATATATTATATGATTAGATACGATCATATTCTTTTTCGACGTATTATCGATCATTCTTTTTTTTCTTTTTTGAGCTATGCGATGTATCATCGATCATTCTTTTGCGACGTATCGTACGTATGTATATATCAATATATTCTATTTTTCTTTTACCTTTTCGCCATTCACTTTCACTTTGATCATTTTACTGATTTTGAGCACTCATGTTTTCGTATCTAAAAGCCCATCGAAATTGTGATTGTGGGTGGGTAGCCGCTGATGGTGATTGGGCTTCACTTTCAATTTACTTTTAGGGCCCCCGGCCCAGTTCTCATCAACCCTTATCCATCCCAAATCCCCATCTAACCAACCCATCTTTCGCTCAATGTTTGGGTCAGGGTCAGGGTCAGGGGGTTTCTCGTTTTGGCCTGATTGGGCTTTTCGTTTGGTTAAAAAATGTGTCCCTTTTTTTATAAAAAGAAAGCAATAAGGAAAAGAGCAGTACAACTAATGCCACATCAACCAGAATTTAGAACAAAGTCTGGAGACTCCCCATTCGATTCGATCATTAACCTGTTGTTCACTTGGTGAAGACGTGAAGTATGTATCAAGAAAGATCCCTTGTTGTAAGAAGGGGTTTCATATAATGGAATGGAGTCCTGCAAAATTTTGATTGCAATCACATAATCCACAATTTTTTAGCAGCAATATGAGAGGTTTTTCATTGCAACAATGCCGCTTAACATATTTATGGCACTGACCTATAACAATTAACAACAGTCCAGTTTCTCAATACCATCTATCATCACAGTCGTCAGCTGTATAGCTACAAACCATTCAACAAACAGAAAACACACAAAATGAGAAAAAGAAGCCAAGTCCTAAACCACATTAATAGTTGGTCTAGGTTGGCAACACTCCTCGTGTTCCTTTGCCAGGAGATTCCAGTGACATGTACTTGGAAATACAGATCGATTCAGACATGTGTAAGTCCTACCAACCCCTCCATTGTTGTTGTTGTTGTTGTATCTGTTCACATCTGCTGCCACTCCATCTTTGCTGCTGCTCGAAGTTTCGGTCAGCATCCCATTTCAGAGCTTTGTCTGGTAACACGATATGATATGGCAATCAGATACTCCCAATCCACCTCCTCAGAGACCACTTTGCACGGTATCCAAATAATCTCCAATCCTTTCCTGCATACTTATTCACAAACCAGAACATGAATAAGGTAAAGCAGAGAACAACATCACATCAATCATGAACATGATTCAGACCCCAAATACACAAGGATAACTATCATCAACTAACTTCTCACACGGCTCAACGTGTGGTAACACAAACTCAAACTACATTATATTGATCAACTCCCGGTAGATTCTCCAAATTTTCAATAACGCGAACCTCAAAGTAACACACACAGATGATCAGCTCCTAGAAGTTGAGTTTCACAAATCGTCTTGTCTAAAAAGAAACCGACTGACAAAGCTACATGATGTTGATTTAGAACCTCTGCTGCAAGCCCAATGCGTAATAATAACGCCCCAATAGCAAATGATACGACTGACTCACAGTACATGTCATCTGCATCGACGGTTTTTTCATCTCTTCTTGAATGTGATTATGTGATCATCAACAAATTCAAAGAGTGGCAATGATTTGTGGCATTTGTATGGTAAAACCTCTAACTAGCCCAAATCCTCTTATCTATCTGTCTTAACCTGCGGTCGAACCAACAAAGTAAAGAAGACTGATACGAGAACCAAGTTGAGGCTCCTCGGAAGGTAATAATGGTATAACCCAGGCTCACAAATAATATGTTCGAGCATAATACATCGGAGAAGGCCACATGTTATTGTCAAGGAAAGTGCAGAAGAATCTGCAGCAACATGAAAATAGCTACAATGCCAAACTAGTTGACAGGTTTCGTCGCTAAGATGTATGGTGTCCTAGCCTGAATGGCACATCAAGTTCAAGCAGTTTGCTCTAAGAACCATTAGAGCCCACATATTTCTATCAAGTTGGAACTGTCCTTGAGTATTACACGTCAATTGTAAAGGTTTGAAGGTGAAAATCAGTTACCCTTTAGCAGAGCATTAAACTCGCAATGGCTTATTAGTGCAGGTTGGACACTGAAAACCAACTGTTAGATAGCAGCCTGGGGGAACACAAACAAAAGGCTCTACAAATTAAGTTCCATCTTATATGAACAATAAAACACTGCCAAAAGCACATGCATACAAGCAGAGGAGAACAGAGCTCGGAAATGTTGGATTTTCAAATTGAAGTCTGTGGATGAATCATTCAGGATGGAGTAAATGAATCAAGTGGACATTTTAGAGAGGTTTCTGAATACCAAAAGACACGTAGCAGTAGGGAAAGTGGAAGAAAGTGAAAGCCTGTGAGAAGTTGGGAGCTGAATCTTTTCAGCAAGAATAAGGACGTGCAGTGTGGATTTGGATGCAGTTGATTTTGAGTACATTCCATCTTCTGGCTTGGCTCCGTTCAGTCTGGTGAACTTGCCCCATAAGATGGTTGATGTCATAAGGTTAAACTATAGTTGTAGATGTTGGATATCTGTTTGCATAGTTCTAAATGAGCTGGATGTCCTAGCATTAAAATGAAGGTCTTGTCTACTTCCAATCCAATGGAAGAAAAAGAAAAACAGGGACTTTGAGATTCAGATAGTTAACCTTTGCTTTCCGCTGGTTGAATGATCACTGCCTAACCACCAACGGCATTGATCCAAATCATCGTCATACAGCTGCAAACAATTCCAGCTCCACCTCATGGGTATATTCAGCATCATTGTCGTCACCGGAAATCATCATTTTCTTGCCATCGACGCTGTTCCATTCCTGTCAAGCTGTGCTCTCTGTGATCTTATCTCCATTGTGTCACCAGTCATGTTTTTTGGACGGATAATTCATGATGGTTACAGGCAGAAGGCTGTATAGTGAAGGCTAATAAACTAATAATAATAATCATATTGATTTAATAATAACTAATTAACAATAAGTGAAGTGAATTTGGGAAGTGGCTGTATGAGAGTGGAGATGGGTTTCCAACTGCATCCTAGCTCTAAGAATGTCAGCATCAACCTCATGTGGTTCTCTGGAGTCGGAGATTAAATTTGTGGTATCGATAAAAACCTGGTTTAATGAAGGCGAGTTGATGATTATGTAAGCAGCAAGCTCGAGTTGGAGTACGTGAGGGTCAAAAACTTGCTGCTCCTTCTTGGCCAATGGATGCACCCCATGGAAGTGAAGCTCCTGCAGAGAGTGATGCTTCCATGTTGACAATTCATGTGCACTCTGGCCCCGGTGCTCACGAAATCGATGGCAACCAGCTGGCAGGAACGACATGGAGAATCGGCTCAACATTGGAGCTGCTCTCAGCAGGCCGGTGCAGTGAAGAAGACTCGAAGCGTTACTGTCCATATACATACGCAGATCCAGCACTGTGAGCTTTTGGAAAAGGACCCATTCCTGCAGGTGATAAGGACGTAGAGGAGGGAAGCATAGACTAGAGAGTTCGTACTTAAGAAACTGCAGTCGAGGAGCAAACTTGTCGAATTGAGAACGAGACCACGGGAAGTAGCAGCGTTGCTCTATCAATAGCCCCCGATTATAACAACATAGCTCCCGAAGCAGAGGAATATCGTCCCCAAATTCGATCATTGGGAGCCATGGTCCTCCACCCACCTCCAGAGTGTGAAGACCCGGAGCAGAGACGAGCACGATCCTAGCGAGAAAGTGAAGAGGTTGGGGGAAATGAAATGTCAACCTCTGGAGCTTGGGAGAACAAACTCTGACGACAGTCCCTTCTTCATGGAAAATGCAGTTGGTGAGAGACAAGCGTTGCAGGTTGGGGCAGTTTGAGAAGATGTGATCCAACGCTCCCTGAGGAATCTTGGCCACGCCCTGGAATTCCAAAACCTCGAGGCGGCCGAGGTCTTGCCGGCGGAGGAATTCAGGGGCCAAGAACAGAGATCCAGAAACCCCAAGGTGTGCCTCTCCGGACTTCTGGACGAAGTAAGACGACAGGGTCAATTGCTTGACTCTCGCCGCGAATCCGAATTGGATCCATCTCCGGGCTTCCTCTTCCATCTCCAAGAGATTGAACCCGATTCTCAATCCGTCCAAGGTAGTAGCAGTGATTCTACTGATGGCTTGATCGACCCGGTCCGCAAACCGGCGCCGTTCTTCGTGGGAGATGCGATTTCTGTCATTCCCTTGTTGCTCATCGTTGCTCTTCTGGTTGAAATCCAGAACCCCGCCGTCGATCGATTGCCACAGGTGCCTCCACCGTTTCCCCAACAGGCTGTATCTCGCCGCTTCGTTCAGCGTCATCGCCGACCTGGAAAGGATCTCCACCGCTAATTCATTCGGCAGCTTCGCGAATTGATCAGGTGATGATGGTTCGCCAGCGGCGACAACCGATGTTGCCATTCCCAAGTTCCTCCTCCTCCTCCTTGTCTTCGTATCCATATACGACGGGTTGTTACGAAGAATTATTGACTAGTAAACTTCTTTCGATAAAACTAACAAACTACGATAAAATGAGATAATTTGTGATAAAACGAAAGACAATAAACTAGAATTGGGTTCAATCTTCTTCATACCATCTAACGAATGAGACATTAGATATTTATAGGCACGAATCCTCTCCTCTTTCCTTATGGTTTCGGCCCACTTTTTCCCTATTCCTACCCATAGAATGTAACCTTCTCCTACAAGGACACCACAACCAAATCCTAAAGAAATACCAAAACTATCAGGTTTGTGACAAATATATCCACAACTATCGAAATACACGAAATATCCATTTTCGTCCACTCCGTTAACTCCATCAGTTAACTTGATGACTGGACAAACGATGGATGCTTAGTTGGCGTGTTTTTGACCCCACTAAATGACGTGGATTAAAAGAGAAAAATAAAAATAAAATAAAAAAATCGAAAAACCACAAAACGAGACTTGACTTTCAATTTCTCACTTCGAACCGTCTTCTCCCCTTTCCTTAATCTCTCCGTTTTCCGACCATGACTGACGGCGAGAGTAAAAATCATGAGCTCTTATCTGGCGACACCCAACTCATCAAGCGGTGAGGAGACCATATCCGCCGCTTTTTTCTTCGGCGCTCCGACCACCGGTCCGTCATCGCCGCAGGTGGAGTAGTTGTAGATCTCGGCTCTGGCGGACTCTCCTTCTTTAGTGACAAATGGCCAAAAGACCCACTCGCATTCGTCTTCGCCGGTGAGCCTTCCCCGGGGGGAATTTTTGACTTCGTCTATCCTGTTCTCAACGACGACACGGGAATTGCCGCCCTTCATCATGTTCCGCGTGCGATTCGATGCTCTGGCGCGTCCAGCCAGGGACGAAACATCGTCTCCGCTTCATGTCGTCTATTGCTTGTAGGCGACTGTGATGCAACAGCTGCTCACCCCCTTTCGTCAGGGGTGTACATAGGTCGGGTGGTCCGGGTTTAGACATTTTAATCACCCGACCCATGCACTACGGTTTGGGAAATATTAAACCAAACCCACCCAAAAAAATCTAAACCCTACGGTTTGTTTCTAATTGAGTAGGGTCGGGTTGGCGATATTTTTAAGTAAAAACACAACCCAACACAAAATATGCAATTATTCTACATCATAAAAATATTTTATAACTAATTAAAAATTCAAACGAATAAACTAAGGTGAAAGGTATCAAAATTCAACAATGTTGTTTGAATTTTAATAAAATTTGATTTATTTCAACTTATGTCTAGTTTTTTTCATGACATTTGTTGAAATAGGCTAAAAAGGTTACAAATGAACGCATCCAAAATATGTTATTCTATTAAAATTGTACACAAGAAAAAAAAATTACGTGAATCATAGCTATATTAAATTTATGTCTAAATTTTAAGCCGAACAATGCATTAGATTAGGGAGACCTTAAGAGAATAACATTGCAAAATATCTTAATTTTCTCATAAGTATGACTATATACGACATAAATATATTTTTGATACGAACTCATACCAATAATTGGAACACGGGTTGGGTCGGGTTCTACGGGTTGTGTAATCCAAAATCCAAACCCAACCCAAAAGAGGCGGGTTGTACAAAAGAAAATCCTCACCCAACGCAAAACCTTCGTTTTAGCGATAAATACGAGTGGGTTGGGTCGGATTGACGGGTGGGTCGGTTTGCGGGTGTGTTTGTTCACCCCTACCTTTCGTTGGGCTCTTCATAAATCTCCAGTTTGCCATACGGTCCGGCGTTGACCTCCTCTTCGAAACTGCAACCTGGGGTTCTCCTCCAAGGACGATTGAGCTCTCCTTGTCGGGAACAAGGACGAAAGAAGAGAGATCTCCTTCTTCATCGGTCACGAACGCAAAAGAAGCCCATTCAGACTTGCTGCGCTTCTTCGCCCCGACTGATTGTTCAATAACTACAATAGGTGCTGGTGGTGAAGCCGCAGTGGTGGTGGTTGGTGGCTTATTTTTGTTTTTTTTCAACTAGCCTATTTGGCATCTACGTGTAAAGTTTGATTGCTTTTTGGCTTGTGGTAGGTGAGATGGCATCTATTCAGCATTTTGTTAGTCAATTAACGCCGTTTAACACGTCGTTATAGTTTCAGACGGAAGTGGATAGATTTGTCACACAACCTTTCAATTTTTGAATATTTCGTGTATTTCGATAGTTGTGGATATATTTGTCACAAACCTGATAGTTGTGGATATACAACTGTATTTTGTCTATGCTAAATATAAAATATGTAAGAGAAAATTAATGATTATTTTTAAACAAAATACATATACATATCATAATCGGACGGGTTCGGATTAGATAGTGAGAAAATCATGTCCACCAATTACCCGTAATATTCGCATATGAGTTTTACGCATGTAGCCCACGGTTTTCCACAATAATTTTCTGAAGAAAAAAAATCGGAGAGCTTTTTTTTTTACAACCGTCTCCGCTCCCACCCTCCACCTGACGACCATCTCCGGCGCCATCTCCAGCGCAAGCCGTGGACATGCGCAACAACGCGGTGATAGGGATCATAGTAGGGATTTCATGAGCAGCGGCGACAATATTGAGTATTACAATATTTTCCGTCTCTGGGTAAGATCGACTTATTGAGTATTACAATATTTTCCTAGCTTGATTAGTACCATAGCTCCACAAGTACTACTTTTATCATTGATCCATGCAAAATTAGTAATGCTTGGGTTTCTTTAAACCATTGACAATAGGGAGTTATAATCCCTATGACGTAGAAGCCACCTCAACATTGTATGGTGAGTAATAAATGGAATAAATGTTAGACTATCAATAATAATGGCCAGCTCAAGTTTCGGCGTCAAATTTGTACATTTCATTCAAAATTTCGACAAAATTATCTTATTTGATAGTTCGGCCCAAAATTGTCACTTACGTCAAAATTCATGTCAAAGTAACATATTATTTTACATAGTATTACAAGTCACTGATTATCGGAGATTTTTAGTTCAAAGAAGAAATGGTGGATGTGATTCACCGTTTATGCGCAGCAAGCCAACCAATGGACTTTTCGATCTTCTTTCTGAGCAAAATTGGGTTGCGGAATAATTGGACGAGAAAGGAAATAAGAGATAAAATTTTGTTTCCTACTTCTATTCGTAAAAAAAGAATTTTGGTTCCTATTACCAAACCAAGTGCAAATCACCGATCCAAGGTGGTACGGCGGAACCATTAAATAGTTTCGAACAAGATCTTAATATAATATTGGGCCTGGAATTTGATACATCCCAAAATTTAAACAATAGATAGACAAACCCCCGGTGGTTATAGCAGTCGCTGGGCTCGCCGAATAAATAAACAGTTCGGTGCCCGTCCAAATGAAATGGGCCCAGCGCCAAAATGAGCATGCCAGTCCTCTTGGACTTTGTACAGCTGTCCTCCAACGAATCTTGATTCTCGAAGAAGCAGCCAAAAGAGAAGGTTTCAGAAGAAAGAAGACAGAAGCGAGAAGCGAGGGGGGAGAAAGCCTTGTATCTTGGAATCCTCTCCGCCACCGCAATCATGAATGGCTTTGATGCGGAATTAACCCGGTTGGAGCAAAATGTCTCCGGTTTCGGCACCCTCGTGAAAGGTCTTCTGGGCGATGATTATCGCCGCAGAGTCATCCCAGCCCAACTCGACCAGCCGTAAGTTTTAGTTTAGGGTTTCACTTCACTTTACTTTTTTTTTATAGATAGCAACTCAACCAGCTGTAGATTCGTTTCTAAACCCAGGAGCAAGTACTCCCCTGTTGTTATTGCCCAAAAAGAGTCATCTTTTATCCTATACAAGTATATCCAGGCAACCCACCAAGATCCTCCATGTGTTAACAAATTCCATATATGTCTAGTAGTACAATTTACTTCGTTCTTGATGAATGATTAGTTTTTTTGTTGTAGAAATGAATCCATAGGCTGTAGTTCCAGATCCTGATTATAGGGTTCATCTTTTCTATTGATTATAATAGGTTTCAACAAGTACAGGTAATTCACTCGGAGCTGCGTGCTGCGAATCAGGAGCTTTCATTGCGGATGGGGACGAATGTAAGACTTATCAATGCCGATAAATTCATTTCTTTACTTTCCTTCCAAGCATCATCTGATTCTTGTATAATTTTTGAATGCAGGATCAGGAAAAGCGAGAGCTCATTCGCCTCAAAATGAAATTTGGTCGAATTGATCGAACTTTTGATGAGTACGTATGTAAGCTGGTCAGACAGGATGACCGCTTTCGTATTTATGGGCGTATAGGCGCGACTCATCAGCCTGCTCGTGCTTCAAGCTCAACTGGTGTGCGGCCAGAACGGGAGCCATCCAAGGAAGATTTAAGACGTCTGTTGGCTACCCATCAACAGCAGGACGCCCACGTAAGAGAAGTTCGGGAGATTGAGGCACAGATGGTAGATCAACTTATGCTACCTCTTTATAACCAGGTAAGGGGTGTTCAAACGAGTGGTTAACATGGTAATTATTTTGATCGACAGTATTTGGATAATTTGGTTTGATTAACTTGAATAATTTGTTTGGTTTGGTTTGGGTGAAAATTTTGCCTTGTTTGGTTTAGGTGGTTTAGTTTGGTTTTAGACACTTCTAACCATGATAACCATTTGAACACACTTATGTCCAGGCATTTGATTTGACCAACCAGGATGGGGAAGATGGACCACTGACTTTTCTTGTCAGGGATGAGGGGGATATTCATGCTATCTTTCGATTCAGAGAGTATCTGGAGGACCCTTTCTTGCTCGTCCTGGCTAACAACTTAACAGCTGAAGTGCGCGCAGACTTGAGGGCGCTGGCTGAAAGTAAGGACCTTCCAATAGACTGAGGGCAGGTAGTGTTTTTTCTGTCTCGAGCTAATCTAAGAATTGGTTTTCAGTGTCCAACCTGCACTAATAAGCCGTTGTGAGTTTAATAGTGCTAAAGGGTAACTGCATTTTCACCTTCATACCTTTAAAATTGACGTGTAACACCCAAGGCAATTGCACGTGACAGTTCCAACTTGATATGTATATGTGGGCTCTAGTGCTTTTTAGAGCCATATGCTTGAACTTGATGTGCCATTGAGGCTAGGGCAACATACATCTTAGCTAATAAACATGCAACTAGTTTGGCATAGTAGCTGTTTTCAGTTGCAGCAGATTTTATGTCCTTTCCTTAACAATTAGATGGTGGCCATCTCCAGTGTATTATGCTCGAACATATGATTTTGTGAGCCTGGGTTATACCATTGTTTCCGTCCGGGGAGTCTCGAGTTGGTTCTCGTATCAGTCTTCTTTACATGTTGGTTGGTTGAGACTTAAGACATACATGGATAAGAGGTAATGTGCTAGTTAGAAGTTTTTCCATACAAATGCGACACATCATTGCCACCCTTTGAATTTGTTGATGATCACACTCAAGAAGAGATGAAGAAACTGTCAATGCAAAACGACATGCACTGTGATTCAGTCATATCAACCGCTATTGGAGCACTGTTATTACGCATTTGGGCTTGCAACAGAGGTTTAATTTATAGCAGTTTCCAATGTCATCAAATCTAACGTCATGTAACTTTTGTTAGTCGTTTCTTTTACCACAAGATAACTTGTGAAGCTCAACTTCTTGGAGCTGCTCTGTGTGGGTTACCTTGAGGTTCGCGTAACTGAAAATCTCGACAATCTACTGGCACTGGGAGTGATCAATATATGTAGTCTGGTTTGTGTTACCACAAGTTGAGCAGTACAAGAAGTTAGTCGATGATAGTTTTCCTTCTCTGATTTGGGGTCTAGATCATGTACATGCTTGAAGTGATGTTGTACGTTCTCTGCTTTACCTTACTCATGTCCTGATTTGTGAATAAATAGCTGATAGTCTCTCGTTGCCTGGCCTGTATCATATTCTGTAACAGACAAAGCTCTGAACTGGGATGCTGATGGAAACTTGGAGCAGCAGCAAAGATAGAGTGGCAGCAGATGTGAACAGACATAACAACAACAACAACAACAATGGAGGGGTTGGTAGCTGGGTTCAAACACAAGAACTATCTGCCTTTAGAAATGGTTAATTTCTTCTTCGAAGGGTATGATATCAGTTGTTTTGTCCATCAGTTGATCTCGTGTACTTATCGGATGTTTTGTAGGGACTTGTGCAGCATTTTCTCCGCTAGACCAAAACCTGACCAAACCATTGAAGAAGAGATGGGTTTATGAGATTCATGAGGATAAGAGTTCCTGAGAACTTGCTTGGGGTCTCTAGAGTAAATTGAACCCATTAGCTACCCATAACTCCCCCTTGGAAGCCCAGAGTCAGAGACCCTGTTGGTATCAGAATTTCCATTCGTACATGCGATACGTCGAAGAAGTATGTAGAGTTGTGATAATAAAATGCAAAAATTCCCAAAATCATAACAATATCGAAAAAATGACGGGTTCATATCTATCTAGTGCTAAAAAAAGGGAGAAAAAAACGTAGAAAAAGTAAAACATGTACATACGATACGCCACATATAGCGCTAGCATCATCGAAGGCAGTTTAGTCATCACGGCTCAACCAGCAGTGGTCATATGACTGTCACAGGGGCGAGGCGGCTCGTCGGTGTCGAACTCGACGTCACCGAGTACGGTCAGTTTTGTCTGGAGATCCCTGAACAGAGCATCTCCCAGAGGCTCTCGACAGAGCCTAACCTTGAACCGCATGCCTTCATCGCGGAGGATGAAGACGATGTCGAAATCCTCCTGCGACTCGACCGGGAAGAAGTCGCGACCGTCCATGTATATCTCGAAAGCAAGTCGCATGTCATTGCAGGTTTGCTTTAGGGGCGCCGAGGCAGCATCAATCCTCGCCTGGCTTTCTGCGTTGATTTGGTCCATTTGTTCCGCCAGTTGCCTCAACGTCAACGTCCTCATCTCCGCCGGATCCATTTTCTGCGAAAAACATAACGTAAAAGAGCAGACAATGAACAAATGCTGGAACGAGAAAGAAATTGAAAACAAAATATTGGAGAAAGATTAATTTTATGCCTTTGGACGGCGAGAGAGCGAGCGACAAAATCGTGCGCGCGAGCCGAGAGCTGAGACTGCGAGAGAGAAAGAAAGCAGATCGCACGCGAACAGAATACTCCTCCTCCTTGCGTGGTTACTTGTATTATATAAGCGTTCCCCCCTTTCTTTCGGCCCACCGGGAACCGACCCAAACGTATAAAAATAATATTCTTCCTATGCTTCCCTCAAATTCAATTCTTCCTATACTAGCATTGACATAATAATATAAAAATTAATAAAAAAGTGTTGAATACATGCAATTTTATCCTACGACAACACTATTTCAATTTATTTTGTAATATAATAAGAGTGAAATATCATTTAATAGAGACGGCTGAATTTACTCCAACTCCATTTGTCATTCCGGCCAACCAGCCGAATCTAAATAAGTTCTTCTTTACGCAATTTCTCCAATAATTTAATTTTTTTTCCAACTTATTCATGAACACAAATCAATCGACAACCTTACTTTCTTACTTATGTATTTGTTCATCTTCTTCTACTTCCAACCCCTTTAATAATTAGTTAAAGCCTTAACTAATCAACTAATTTCTCTTTCTCGATCTTACATCTTACAATTTCGTACCTAAGCTTTGTATTTTACAAAAAAATATACTTCAAAATTACAATGCCATACCTCAAAATGTTTAGTATGACATTTTAGTACCCAAAACTTTTAAAAGTTTACAAAATGGTCCAAAAAGGTAGATGGCACATGAATTTAGGAGTTCAATCTACGAATCCATGGATTCATTCATTCATTCCAATCCACAAATCCTTAGATTCATAAATCCAATCCATTTACTACCTCTAAGTATAAGCAACTATAGTGTTCTTTCCGGATCTCACTCACTCGCTGCCAATGAGTAATTAGCTTGAATAAAATCATAAAATAGCTTGCGAGTAAGAAAGGGCACAAGCTATATACATATAAACAAAGCACCTTTTACGACGGTATCTATAGCTAGGCTAGTGCTTTTGATTTCCACCGCAGAATCTATAACCAGAAACAAGGTAGTAGTTTTGTCTAACCTCAGATGTTTCGTTTCGAATTTGGAAAAAAGATTCCAAATTATCAGAGGACAGAATGCAGCGGATATTCTTTTACTACCTATAAATACGTACGTACTCCTATTAGTACCATGCATGGTCGTCCCATATTTCCACTACCAAAACCCTATTCTCTCAGTTATGCAATGTTGATTCCGTTTAGTGTGAAGTCTCAAGTTTCGAGCATAGAATGGTGACTCACTCCTACTGTCACCCTAGAAAATGGCCAAGTATAACCACTTCCTAAAGCGTAGTATAGCGGGTCGGGTTTTAATGTCAACCCAGGTCCTAGATGTGATGACTACTCGGTGAATTCTTGTTATTTAGCGGTGAACTTTTAGTGAAACTCAAGCAAACAAAACACAAAGCAAGTGAACGGTTTGTTGTCAAGTCAAGAGAGGTCACCCGGATATGGTTTCCCCCTAGACTGCAGTTAAGTCGGATTGCATTTTACCAAGTTCAGTTTTCATGAAAGTTATACTGCGGAAGGTTCTCAATTAGCCTGAAGTCTCGACTAAAGGTCTCCAGACCCTCTCAATCTGAGTCTCTAGCGGGCGACTAACCTCCACCGGAGTAAACAGATTGAGGCCCTAATGAACCAAACCTCCACTACCGAATCGACTTCGGTACAGAATAGCGAATTGGCTCCTCGACTAAAGTCACCAATTCGCTACCTTCGATTAAGGGTACTCTATCAACCTAGGCAGATATTCTCATTCCAGGTTAAAGCAGAAACAACAGGAATTTGATCAGGATTCAAGTCATTCAATCAATCAAACCTCAATCGAATATAATCAATTCACAAACACTGTACTTGGGTTCATACAATCAGACCTAGCATACAAATCTAGGGTTCTCCATACCCAGATGAATGGGGAAACTACTCCATAGAGAAAGAAGCAAAAGCAGATTCAGACACGGAAATCATACTGTGAAGTTGGATTCCTGCTTCTGGACGTTTAATCGCACTTCTCCAAGCTCAAGACGGGCTCCAATGGTGTTGAAGATCGATCTATGGCGCTTGAGAACTCTGGTTCGACGCTTTCTCTCTCTAGGTATCGGTTTCTCTCTCAAAAACTCGGACCCCTTCAATGTTGGCCTTCTTCTCTCTTAAATCCTCTGCCTGGTCGCGATACCCGGTCAAAATACCCGGTCGGGTATTTTGGGTTCTGACCGGGTATCTCTGCAACGCCCCGTTTCACTAAAGAGGGAAATACCCGGTCCAACACCAAAATCCCCGACCGGGGATTTAACTGATGTGCCCGGGCCCCTCTCTGTTTCTCGGGCGCCCAACCTTGGTTAATACCCGGTCGGGTATTTGGCCACCTGACCGGGTATTTTGCTCCTTCAGCCCTATTCGTCCCAAACTTGCTCCTTTCGACCCAGAACTCGTTTCTCCGCCTCGATTCCAACGCCGGGACCTGAAATATGACATAAACACACAACCTAGCGTGAAATCGGCTTAAACCACGAGATTCCTCGTCGCAAACGGCCTCAGAATAGGGGTAAAAACATGTATAATTATCGATCTATCAAACTCCCCCACACTTAACCGTTTGCTTGTCCCCAAGCAAACCAAGTCAGACACTAGGTAAGCTTACATATTCAATCAACCAACATTGGGGACAAGTCATAAAGGCACAAAACACGTGAATCACACTGGTTTTCAACCATCAATACATGCACAACCTCAATAACAACCTGGACAACCACCACAAAGGACATTCGAGTGCAGCAAATCGAGTAAAGGAAGAGTCTCCCGTCTGTTCACTAGCCAACCTAGACTTGATTCAACCACTTACTCAAAACAGTCGACTCATGCATCCAACTCAAAACATCAGAATAGAGACCGAGCAATCTAGGTCCTCACCGGGGTACAAGAGCATATAGAAAATGAAAATGAATCACTCACTCTCGACCAGTGGGGTCAGGACAATTTTGATGCGAAAGATGCGCATGCTATTTCTCTCAATCCCTATCATCTCTTCACCATGATGGCAGCCTCTAAATGCTAGAGTTCACATATGGGGTGTCACCACTAACTAATCAGGAGGTCTTAGACACAGGTTCAAATGACTGGCTAGGGTCTTGGACATGGGGAAAAGGCCTTTTAGGTGGTGGAAGTATTCATAGCAAAAAGGTTCCACATTTTCCAAACACACAATCACAGTCAACCAACCCGGTATTTTCTTTCTGCTATTCTGCATTACTCAATATCTTAAGAGCACAAGAGCAAAGGAGGCATAATCATCAGCATTTCCAAGCCAGACTGCTAAGAGACACTGCTCACTGGGCATAATTCAGATTTTTGGTAGTGGCTCTCTTTTGCTTTCAATTTTTTTCTTTGTTTTTCTTTCATTTTTCTTTTCGTTTCTTAAGAGAGCCACCACTTTTGCATAAATTTCAAACACCTGCCCAATTTTTAAGCACTACCTCCAACACTCACATAGACTTTAGCAGAAACAGCAGAGAATATATAAAACCACTCTGTGGAACCTTCTAAAAGATGCAACAAGGGTGATTTTTTTCATTATAGACCAAAAGAAAGGATAACACACGGCTCAAAGGGGCTGACTAGGGGATATGACACATCAGGACAGTCAGTTTTGGGCGTGGGCTAATCCTATGCCCCCATCA